GGTTGAGGCCAAAGCTAAAAAGGGGGCACAGACTCAGGGAGGGAAGGTGGAAAGAATGCAAACTTCACTAGACTCTTGAGGCACAGAAAAGGAATCAGTACCCTGAACACAAGTGCAATGTCCCCTCCTTGGGCATCAGACAAATCCCAGAAGCCCAGAATGGCTGAGGTTGGAAGGTACCTCTAGGGATCACCTAGTGCAACCCCTCTGCTCCAGCAGGGACACCCAGAGCATGTGGCACAGGGTGGCATCCAGGCTGGTTTGGAAGATCTCCAGAGAAGGAGACTCCATGATCTCTCTGGGCAGCCTATTCCAGAGCTCTGTCACCCTCACAGGAAAGTTCTTCTTCTTCTTCTTCATATGGAGATGGAATTTCCTGTGTTTTAATTTATACCCATTTCCCCTTGTCCTGTCACTGGTCACCAGCAAGAAGAGTTTGGCCCCTATCAAGATGCCACAGTTGCTTGAATAAAGTAGAGCAAAACCTTAATGAGCCAAGGCTAGATTTGAACCCTTAACTGAGTATCAGTTTGTGCACACAGTACACTAAGCAAGCCGAGCAGCATGCACACTTCCAATTCCCTCTAGAAAAGTTCATTGGTGATTCTAAGAGGTTTTGATGCCACTCAACTCACGTGTTTCCCTTCAAAGATCCTCCTGTGAGGGTTCACTGCTGAAATCCTCTTCCTTTCTCCACTCCAGAGGCCAAGGGGCTCCTCCTGGTTTGGGCCCTACATGTTAGCCCTACCTCACCACACAGGGCTTCTCTGAGCAGGCCATTTCCCCATCTCCTCCCACAGAGTCTCGTTCCACAGTAGATAAGGATTGTAGGACACAGTGCTCATAGCAGGCTGTGAGGAAATGTCCTAAATAACTAGTCAAAAAATATATCTGATCTGAGATCCTTACGCAAGGATGAGCTGAACACCATGCCATCTTTCTCCTTGGCTGGACATGTAGTGCAGTCCCTTTCTAAGAACAGCGCTTGAGGATCAAATCTACCATGTGTAAGAGAGGGAATATTTTGCCAAGCGTCACTCACATGCTCTTCAAAGTTGTCTGCAGGTTAAAATTCCCTCAGCAGAGCTCTGTACATCTCCCATGGGCTCAAACAGGCTTTTTCGCCACTTTTCCTCTAGGGAAAGCTCAGGTATCCCACTGAGGAAACATCGTGAGCTGGTTTTTCCCTTGAGAGGCCTGTTGTAGTCTGAAGTGACTCTGGGTTTGTTCTTTTTTAAAAAAACAAACAAACAAACAAACAAACAAAAAAACAAGGAAATGGCACTAACTCCCTTTGTTAGTGCTAGGGAAAGTTCTTCCTTACTGAAAAATTATTACACAGTTCATACTCTGGAGATCTTCTCTCATCCTGTGAGTTATCTATAGGCAGCGAGCTAACAACATTGACATCTGAAGCATCATCATTAGCATTGAGTGAAATGAATTGAGTAGAGTTCACGTCTCAGAACTACTGTTTCATGTTCTATAAATGCCAGCACTGGCCAGACTCAGAAATATTTGGAAACCATAAAATTTGAAACTATGTTGTTGGTTTTTGTTTGTTTTGAAGGAAAGCACAGATTCTGAAGGCTCATCTGAAAGCAAGAACTGCCTGTACCCTACAATGCTTCATGCAGAATAAATGCAGCAATGAGATCATTTTGGAGATATGCTTGCTCGATGTCACAGCTCTGCAGGTTAAGAAAAACACATTGAAACTTTGTTTTTGCAAGAAGGACTAAGAAGGATTCAGGGAGCTCCAAGCTGATCAGCTTCACCACAGTCCCTGGGATGGTTTAGGAGCAAATCCTCCTTGGAGATATTTGCAGCCACATGACCAGAAGATGATGGACAAGAGCTGGGATGAATTTCCCAAAGATAAATCATATCTGGTAAGTCTGATTGCTTTCTAAAATGAGACAACTGTCTCTGAAGATATATGGAAAGGGAACATCCTCACAGACAAGAAGCTGAATCCAAATAAGCCGCGTGCCTTCACAAGAGGCCAACAACATCCTGGCCCATGTTAACAAGAACACAGCAGATCAAGGGAAACAATCTTCCCTCCATCGAGGACTTGTGAGAACACATCTGGAATACAGGTTTGTGGCTCTTCTATGGAAAAAAACACCCAGAGAGAAGGGCGGCCAGTGCACAAGGAGATGCTGAGAGCTGGGTTTAAGGGAAGGCTCAGCTGTAAGATGAGATGGACTTACTGCTGCCTGCAACTACCTCATGAGAAAGCAGAAAGAAGACAGTCTCTTTTCGGAGGTTCACAGGGAAAGGAGAGGCAACAGATAAGCTGGACGATGGAAAAATTAGAGGGTATTAGACGATTAGACGTATGGTTCATTATTATGAGGGTGGCCAAATACTGCAACAGGTTGTCTACAGATGTGGAATCTCGATCCTTCAGCATTCAGCAAACTTCCACAGAGCTCCATGGTCCCATCCAACCTCACTGTTATTCTGTTATAAAGTTCTGCTTAACGACTAAGGGCCAGTGAAAGCTACAGGATAGGGAACACATCCGCGTAACTTTTAATGGATTCCTAATTGCTATTCCACATCTGTTGATGTTGAGAGGTTTATCTACTTGAAAGGTTTCATTATTAAAACATTTATTTTGAAGTGATGTATCAAGAGAAGTTTTCTACAAAGTACACAAGCAAATGTTAAAATTTAATGTTTCTGTAACGTAACTAAGCAATGAATTAAAGTTATTTATTTTTCTGCAATTTAGAGGGGACATCAGAACCAAATAGAAGACAGTTCAGTATTTTACCCTCCCATTAAAAGGAGAGTGTGCTCTTAACAGCTATCTAGTACCAGGAATACTGCACCAAATCCTTTCTTGACCACTCATCACACACACAGCAACATCTGTGCAAGCCAGTTGGCTCTAGACAGCTCCTGTGGTTCCTGAAGGACTATTTGTTGGCAGGTTCTGTTTTTTATTCTAATTGAAGGGTTAATCAAATGAATCATACGTGTATGTTGGCTAAATAACCACACTGTCTCCACTGATGATGAAACAGATGTGTTACCACTCAGGTTTCCCAGGGGGTTCATTTGTTCCATGATTGCATTTGCTTTTCTTCAAGCTTCTCCATGCAACATCTGACAGTATTTTGGATAGCTTTAAGAAAATTAAAAATTACCTTCCAGATGCTATTGCCTTCACATTGTCACTTAATTATAGTACTTTTTGGGGAAAGGTGCATGTATCCTCAGCATTGCTTGGTTGTGGAAAATGTGGAAGAAGCTGCTAATCTTAAAGAAGGCGAGAAGTGTTATTAAAAGAAAAATAAATCACGAAGTCTAGCAGTGTTTGTTGGTGAGGCAAAAATTGGTTATACATTCAACCTTGGCTTCTCTCTGCCTCTTCTTGCCCCCATGAAGGGTTTCACTCTGCACTAAGTGACTGCAACAGGTTTTGTTAGCTTTTACAAACCCAGCCTTGCAAAGGTGTAGGTCTTATTGCACAGCTGTCCTGCACAGCTAAGTATCGCCATTAACTCATTAAATGCACACATCTAGTTAATCCCTTTTGGAAATCAAGGTTTATAATATTCAACGCCACAATTTCTGCTGGGGTGTCTGTTTTACAAGGTTCTCACCCCATTCACATGAGAAGAGGCCATGTCAGCCAAGTGTACCTATGTAAATGACAGGCTATTCAGACAAGAACAATTAAGTCTCATTGCACTGCCCTCCTTCCTCTTCATTTTACTTTCAAAAATGTAAAACTAAGCTAAGCATTAAAAGCGCTGTCAACTTCCAGAGTTAAGTCTCCACATTCAATACTTCATTTTTCTTACTCTTGCAATGAAAAGGAGACTGCATTATGAAATACTGCACCTAAAAACACTTAATCCTGCTGTAACAAGTGCAATCTGGGGAAAAGTATCATTTTCCTCACTCGGTGCCATACCATTTTAACTTTCAATACATCTAAAAACATTCTAAGCCTAAGTATGAAATTCACATTTTCTACAGTTTGTTACCTTATCAAAAGCCATCCTGACAGAAACTCCATTCTTACTGCCACCATTGTGTAGCCCCTCATTACTCAAAGCAAAAAAAGGGTTTATTCCTTTGCTCAAGAATCCAATACTTGCAATGGCAGTAAATAGGCATATTACTGACCTCAGTGCGACTTCACTCACCTTAGAATTTACTCTCACTGTGATCTTATAGCTTGAATTTGTCATTTGCTTAAGTACCTTGCTGAACTAAGGCATGAAAATAAAGGCAATAGAAAAAGCGGTCAAATACCAGGTGGATTTACATTTTAAGCCTCAACACAAAAGAGATTTGAATTTAATAACTTGTCTATAGAAGACTTTGCATAAGCACAAAACAGCAGCTTTGCTCAGTGCAATGCTTCTCTGCAAAACTCTTCTGCACAAAATTAGGAAATGCTGGAAAAGGTACGGAGAGCTTCAATTTAGAATAGGTTTAGTCTTATATTTTTGCTTCGGACATGGTTCAGAAGGTGCTAGAACATGTTTGATGCTATAGAGACACCTGAATATCCGCAAGCCCCCTCAAGGCTTAATGCCTTTTTGATTAAACTGTAAAAGTTTTTAGGATGATTTTTCATCTGTATGAACATAAAGTGATAAATGGTTAAGTTGGAATATTAGGCCTCTGTGTGTGTTGGGAAATATGAGTTGAATATAGCTTTGAGTGATTTTTTTTAATATTTATTTATTAAAACTCACTATACAAAGAAAGGTTTTCACAACAACATAGTATGTAGGGTTATAGTTGATCCTTCCTTCAAACTATTTCCTTTTCTCAGTAGAAAACATATTTATACACTTACAACAGTTTCCCTTTAAAGTACTGGGTTTTTATATATTAAAACATACCTGGTAAAATAAGCTTAAAATAATTTTACATTGCTTGGAAAACGATTAGAGTAATTTACTCTTACCAGAGTGCCATAGTCGCACGGTATTCAAAAAAATGAACAACCACTAAAATATAGAGTCAAACATTTAAAAGTACATTTATTTAAAATGTGGGCAAAATATCAATATAAAAGAAAATAGAGTATAGGAAATAAAAATAAAGTACAAAACATTTTCATCTTCAACATCCATAATTTAATAGACAGCAAGCCCTTTTATTTTTACATCCAAATTACACTTTTGGCTAAAGTACCATTGTTTATGTTAAAATGCTTAAAAACTGGCTAATCATGATACCTAAAGTGGGCTTTTTTAAAATGGTAGTATAATACAAAACATAGTAAATTATGTTTCCTCATAATAAAATTACACATCCTAAAAAAGATGCAGTTTATTTTTGCTTTCCTGCTTTAAACTGCTCATCATCCCTAGGAAAACAGCTGGAAAACAGCATCCACAGGAAGTTTTAGTCACTTTGTACAATGGCTGAGCGGTTACGGTTAATGCTCCTCGGATTCCGAAGCAGTAAGGCATTTCACTGTCCATCAAGTAAATTTATATGTATGTTTGTTAAGAGCAACAACTTTGAAAAATGCCTGCAAAATAGGACTTAGAAAACAATCAAAGGAACCTTTCCTTTTCCAGGGCTTATGTGTTCTGCAGTAAATAACTGTTCTCCAGTTCTTTTAAGACCCCAGTGACAACTATTTTTCCTGCTGCTTCATACTCTACAACTGTTACCATCTGACAACCTTGCCCCCACCACACTGAAGTATTTTCTAGTAGAAATTAATTCTACTTTGGATTCAACCTGGATATCTATGTATTAAACAACCCTCTTATCAAGTAAAAAAAAATCATACATCCTAACAATTATGCAAGTAATTACATACTAATTAAGGAAACACCCTGCCTTACATACTTGACAGCCTTTACACAGAAAGGATATGATTCATAATCCAGTGTTTGAGTAAGTACTCCTGTCAGGACAAACTCCGCATTGTGGACATCTGGAAATGTTGAAAACATGTTGAAAACATGTATAAAGTTTACATATTATAAGACAGTATTTTTTATTCTGTGTGTGTGTCAGGAGGGGCCATCCTGAACCTTTCTGCTCTTCATGCAGAGAGGGGCTTTAAGGAGCACTGCCCCAGCACTAGACATTTGCACTAGACATTTGCACTGGAAATATAAGACTTCCCCATGCAGCCCTGCTAGTAAAGGTGTATGTTCTGTAATAACTTCTGTAGCCCAGAGCTCACAAACGAACAGCACGTGCTGCTGCTCACATGGTGAATTAGCATTAAGATTCGGGGTGACTTGGCTACAAAATAGCTCAGTTAGAAATATCTAGAAAGCAGTTGAGTCAGATTTCTCCAGGGCCTGCAAGATAAGACAAACTATCGCTCTGTTTTTATCAGGAAGCTTCAACACCTACCTGTACTTGTAAAATAATAAATCAATACAACAGGTATGACATAGTAATTATATTGATAGGTTATACATACCTATACCTCTAGCAAAGTATTCTCGACATAAATGAAGGTCATTTTCACAGGAAATCAAGATTATCTCTGGCAAACTCTAAATGAAAGAAAATTAAACGTAAGCTCATAGTAATACAGTAAGATATTATCAGTTAATTTTAGAAAGCAACATTATACATACTTTATTCTGTTTATGCTCCATGAGTTTTCGAAAAGAAGGCTGCTTAGATAATACTTTTCCTCCTGCACACTCCACAATAGCTTTCATGGTGGAAAGACTAGGACAAATTCCAGGCGTGATGTAAAAATATTTTCCCTAGAAAAAGAAAAAAAAGTGCTATTTTGTTAGCTGATTTCTGATGTGTATCATGCCCAGTTTTATTATCATGCAACTTTCATCTTACACACTCACTGGGCAGGCTGTCAGTTGGTGTTACATCTCACAGCTTTTAGTAGCCTACTAGAACAATCAGTCAGTTGATGAGTTGCTTTTAATTACTACTGATCTATTTTTTCCTGGAGGGGCAAATCCCCGATTTTGTGAAATTGGAACAGCTTAGGTGTGCCTATTACAACACTATTAAAATAAGCGGAAACCTTCAAATGACCAATAGCTAAAGGAAGATTAAAAAAAGGAGGTTGGTGAGGCCTGTAAGTACAACAATCCTCCTTGCTTCAAGTGCAGGGATGACTAAAGGGTTGCAAAAGCTCCCTCCAGTTTCAGTCTTTAATTAATAGCCAATGTATCATTTTCTGACAAAAATGACCCCTACTACTTCACTGAGGCTGATACAGATGATCAGATCATAAAGTAGCTTCTCTGCTTTTGCCATCTAGGAATAAAATAAAAAAAAAAAATCTTCCTATTTAGATTGTGCGAGTGAAGAGTAATAGCTCTAATAAAAGACTTAGGTGCTGATTCACCAGTTCCTTTAAAAATCGCCTTTATGGGTGATTTACCCCAAGAAAGAACCTCAGATGCATTTGGGCTGAGGAATCCCCTGCACCTTGGATCTTTACATACCTTTCTGCACAGCAGCACGATTCTACCTGCAGGTTATGTGACTAACTGCAGGGAGCAAGTGCAGCCTCCAGGGAGCAGCAGGGTGGAACTCCCTGGGGCTGAGGCACAAACTCAGCCTCCCATTTTCTGGGGAAGTGCTTGTGGCATCTTACAAATCAAGTGGAAATCTCCTGCATTTTGTGAGGGTCCAAAAACCATCACCACACTGAGCATGTTTTGTTCACATCTATAGGGAATGATCACTCTAGGAACTTGGATGCCATATCCATCTCTCAGCTCAGGCAGGAGACAGACAGAATGCCAAAACTAAAATTTTCTATAAATACTCTACATAGTCTTTTTTATTGTCAGGGGCTACAAAGCTGTGGTCCCAAAGCTGAAAGTTAGGTTGAAAAGCTCTAAGCTTTTAAATACCTTTTTTAAACTGCATACCTTAAAGAGTGGAGCTACTTGTGCTCTCTTCAGAGACTCCTCTAAACTAAAGCAGAAAAGAACCTCAGCTTCGGCATCTCTGAGCACAAAGTTCTGCTCATCTGAAAAAGAAAGACTGATGATGTAATACAGAAAAGAGGGAAAAAAAAGCATAATCTAGACTGTAATCAAATTAGAAAATCAGAAATTACTGGTGGTAGAGTGACACAAAATGGTTATCACTTACTAGAATCTTATTTTAACATGATTATAACATCCCCTACATATTATACTTCTTATAAAGATGACCTGCAGTTTTTCAAAGAAAAACTGAAGTGTGCAGGTATTTTACACTTGTTTAGCTGGCAACATCCTATAGTCCCCTTTCCTAAACAATTCAAGAACGTCTGAATTTTCATTTGTTGAGTCTCCACAGACAAAGGAGCAGAAAGATTAAGTTTCTGTTCCAATCACTGTGACACTCTACGCCAGAGCCCCAGAACTGGCTCCAAGTCCTTGTGCAGCCATAACCATAGAGGTGGAAACACTGCCCTTTCCCCTGAGCCTTTACTCGGATTATTTTTTTCTTGGTGAAGGATTTTCAGTTTTATTTTCACCTTTCCACAAAAGGATTTCTTTAAATTTATTTCAAAATCAAGTATAGAAAGACCTTCTTTGTCTTCTGATGGACCTCAAGTGGGCTGATTTCTCAATTCACTGACACTGAGCCAATTTATCAATGCCAGTTCTCAGCATACATAAAAATATTTGTCAGTTGAGGGCTAATTAAAAATTATCCATAGATTTAAGTCTTTGTGGTGGTTAGCCAACAATGCTGCCTGTTTGTTCCTTTCAAACAAATTGCAAAGAAAGAATAAAACAATTAAAAATAATTATTCAGCCTTTAACAGGATTTTGTTAGGTTTAACATCCTTGATGTCCTGAAAATATCTATTTTTGTGTTTTGTGTTTTCAGAAAATTTTAAAACAAAGTCAATATATTTTAAAGGATTTACAGTCCTAGACTAGTTCAATTTATTTAAAAACATTTTTATTCATATTTGCTTGACTTGTTTAAAAATTACAAAGAATATTGAAATTGAATTCAAAAAATATAACATTGGAGAACAAAAGGTCTAATTTTTTAAAATAAGAAAAACTTGAAAAACAAGTTTTTACTTCAATTAAACAAATTAAAACAAATAAGAAAAAATGTATTAAAGCAAATGAAACAAATGAAACTAAATGAAAAAAGGCCCAGTTTAAAGAGAGCGTAATTATTGCTTGTGACTATTATTTAACTGTAACAACATAGATGTTTACCTCAAGGGAAATACAAACTCTCCACTAGTAACATGGGAGCTAAAATAACCAAACCATGTATTTATAGACTTAAAATCCCCATTTCAATCCTGCACTCTTTAGAAAGCTGGCAAAAGATACTACAGTCAAAAGTCAAAAAAAGTGTTCTTAAAAATACATTCAATCTCTGCACACTTAAACCAAGAGTCCAACCAATCTTAAATTTACAAGAGAAACTGATAAAAATTTAGCTTACCAACAAACTTCTGGCATTTGAAACACTCTTCTAACCATTCTGGAGTTACTATGTGCTTGACTACGGAAATTGCCGTGAGGAACTTGACGGTCCGGGTCACTTTACTGGCAATTAGATGGGTGCATTTCTGGGCAGATTCTGCTACCTCACCCCCAAGGATATACAGTTTCTGGAAGTTGTACAACATACAAATCAGAAAGGAAGAGTCTTTTAGTAATGGGAGAAAAATGGAAAATCGTAACACCAACATCAAATAAAACTCAGGTCCTAACAGTAAAGAGTACTGTACCACAGTCCTTCCTTTGCTAAAATTGATTAAAGGACAGAATTTATAACCTATTTCCAGACATAACAACTTTTTTTTGGCAAGACTGAAAGCTTCTTTTATTTTTTATTTTAAGTGAAACAGTTTTCAAGTCAAAGTAAGCAAATGCTTTAATAATGTTGCTATTTTCCTTTATGGAAGGTATAACATATGCTCTAGTTATGCTAAACAATCTTCCTAATCATTTCATAGGAAAGAAAAACATCTCACAAGTAGTATTCCTAAAATACACATCTGGATGGCAGTGAGTGATTATTCCTTTTTCCTTCATTTAAACTACCAAATTACCTTACCACAAATGCTATTTTTTCAGCTAAAACACAAATCACTATCTGTGCAGATTAGTAATACAACTAATCCACTGTTAAGGATACACTTTATTACACTTTTATTATCAGTCCTCAGGCATCACCAAAGCAAAAAGGTCTAATATGTGTATTAGTAGTGTGATAATAGACAGTCTCTGGCATGGTTCTGTATCCTAACAGTAATGAACAAGCAGAAAAGACAGGGAAAATCTTTCAGGCTCTTCTTTGCTGTGCTTGCTTACTTTGACTGCAAAGACACCATACAGAAATCCTGTTCAATAAGAGTTACTCTCTAGAACTTATTTCCTTCGGGGTACACAAATAGAACCCCTGTAAATACTACACTTGTGAAAGGCAAAGGATGTTATTTTCATAAATTAATATATGTTCACCTCAAACACTCAACACCTATGAGTGAAGATCTTGAACGATTTGCATTCTGATTTTCAAAGAGCTCTTTGGGAATAGAGGAAAAAAGACTATCCCACCCTCTCAAGAAGATGGTGGTATCCAGCCTCAGGAAGGTATCCAAACTCTGGAAGATCTTAATGGTATCATCACTGTCAAGTTTGGCTTAAACTTCACAAGTCTCGAGGCTGAAGTTCATTTTTATATTTGTGAGCCATAGCTGTTATCAAAACAGATTCTCCATACAATAAACCTGATACCAACATGACAGAAAAAGGAGGAGCTGTCACTGGCACTGTATGGGATATATCAAAAATATTTTATATCACAAAATATTAAATATGAAGTTTCAAATGCAAACATTGCAAGGAAAAAAAGAATTACAAACTCCAGCTACTTGAAAAATAAGTTTATGTATAACAAAGAAGGTATTAGATATTTTTGAGCTTGACTGAAGTGATGCATATTTCTAAGAAATGCAGCAGACTCAAAGTACTCCTTGTTTAATTTTGTTTCTCTGGAGCAGGCATCAATAGCAGGATCTCTTGTGAACTACTGAGGTCACCAAATGAAAAAAAAATACACGCCTCAGCCAACATGTGACAACATAAATGAAGGGTTCTTTTAGACCAAATATTTTGTAATTACTGAGATTCAAAAAGGGACTAGACTTTGATACGGTTAAAAGAACATTCTAAATTATTCAGAGTTATGTTCTGGGAAAGCTTAATTAAGGAACAGAATAAAACTTCCAAGGGAGCACGCTATCTCATGCCTACCATAAGCTTTGCCATCAGCTTCCGTTGAAGCGTTTGGTATGAGACATACAAAAACTACATGAGAAGAATCTTGAATCTGATCTTGGGCATGACTACCACTCCTTCCGCACTTAATTTTGTTCATGGTTGCTGATTTAAGAACTACTGTTGAAGGGGCACCCTTGCCTTTTAAAAAAAAGCATATGGAAAGAAAAAAATATAAGTATCCCAGAAGTATGAACTAACTAACTAAGGAAAACTTAGGAACAGACATGAAATTACACTCAGGTCACATAAATCTACACTCTAACCTCTGCCTCAGCAAGTCTGGCTTTAGCTGTACATTAGATGTAAGCTAATAAAGTTTCACAAAACAGAAGTTTAATGTCAAGAAAAAAAATCTTATCAGATATTCTAACATAGATCCTAAGAGATAAGTGTGAAAGTCACCTTGATGTACTGTTGAACTTGCATAGGTTCAAATCCTGTGAAGAGCACCAGTGGTGTCAGCTCCGGAGTGAGTTTTTTAGTAGGTGGTGGTAGGTCTTCAATTCTGCAAGATAGAGTACGAAAATGAAATACAGCAGAATATGAAGGTGGGCCAAAGCCAACTTTAAAACCAGATAAACAAACACTTGCAACCTTTACGGATGGCAAATAATCAAATGGGAATTAGGCAGGTCCATCTTCTGAGGAAAAACATTGCGATTAAGATGTAGTATTTCTTCAAACATTCACCTGACTCTTTGACTGCTTTGCTTATTCAAACTTCTGAGTAGCACGTGTTACCCTTTGGTTGTTAGCTTGTTGGTGAATACCAGGTTTGTTCTCTAAATCACCCCTGCAATGTGGCATTCGCTGCAGTCCTAAGTATCTCAACACACAGACCGTTATATCGAAACTGAACGTTTAAGAGAGCACTCAATTATCTACAAAGTTTTGAAGTCATCAAAAGAGCTTCTTACCAGATAGCTTCAAGATCCATAAAAAGTTACTGAGTCAATTTTTTTAATCAAAAATGGCTCATGGCTATTAATTATGAAGCAAGTTTATTATCTGTCAATTGTTTTAGTTCATTCTCTTTCTTTCCTTATGTCTCCTTTTGCCTTTACGTACACTTTATCTTTTTCTCTTGTTTTTCTTTTCATTTCCCATTTGAAATATCACATAAAATGTATTAACCCTTTTCAAATGATTCTCTATGCAGCTACATCTACAAAAAAAAAAGAAAAAAAAAAAAAGAAAAAAAAACCACACACACACAAGCAAGCAAAAAACCCACCAAAAAGACAAACTAGCAATACCAGAAGGCTGACAGGACAGCAGGGAAATCCACCAGCTGTCACAGAGGCCAGTACTGCTTCACTTATTCTCCTGTTCTCTCTTGCCTGTACACTTCTTCCCACTTCTCATAACTTCCCATTTTTCTAACTGTTCTTCCTGTTTTTCCTCAGCCCCTTACTACTCCATTCTCCAGGCATACTCTGCTCCCTCAGACACCAAGCTGAGCAGTTGGCACCATACACAACACGGTGTCAGCTAGTCCAAATGGCAGGGCACGGTATGGCACCAAGCTAGTGGCAATTCTGTGTCTTCACTTTTCCAGGTCCGTGGAAGAAGTAAATTAATGGCTATTGTCACTGCTAGCTTGTTAATCTTACCTTGCTCTTTTAGAAGATGGCTGAAGACTGGGCTCATTTTGCTTTGGTTTCAAAGGCAACCTCACACCCTGAAATTAGACCATTTACAGGTTTATAGTTAAACTGAGCAGGACACCTCATTCGTAATGTGAAACAGGAAAAAATGATTCTCCACTATCCTGACACTACATTTGAAATAATTAAATAATAACATCCAAAATACAAAACTTAAGCAAAAAGGGCATTGTACCAAACATATACTGATATACATGCAGCTCACACAGCTGACTCAGAGTAAATCTAGAAATAAATCAAAACTTCTCCAAAGTTACATAACTAAGTCGGCACCACTTAAAATATTAATTGGTTTTCCCCTTTAAATGCAGCTGATAATCGTTATAGAAAAATCCAAAGAATAAGTAAATTGAGAATGCAATGGGACTGAATAAGATTGTCCATTTGTTAAATAAACAAAGACTACAATATCCTTTCAGGTGCTTAAATATCAATAAAAATTATCACTTGCACCTGCATTTTGTGTACTCAACGGCCCTAAGTACAAACACTGAGGTTCCAATTCATTAGTTCAAATTGGGTTTTACCTACATCAATAGAGACACCAAAAACAGTTATCAAGTATAAATCTTAAGTGGGAAGAGAAATCACCACACAAAAGCTTTCAGGATGATAAACTGAAGCAGCCTCCTCCATACTCACAACAAGGAGATGGTTCAGAAATAAGTTGCTCTTTTCACCTTAGCTCTTACAGCTGTATCTCAAGCTTACACGTCAGGTAACAACTTATCTATCTCACAGAATATTCTCCATGATGAAAAATACATTATGGATACATTATATAATGTATATATCTTGTATATCCTGTTTGTGGTGCATTCTTAGCTTTCTAACTCTTGCTTATTTGCACTACTGTTACTTTTAGGCTTATCAACTGCACTTCTTAAAGCCTGATACGTTATGGAAGTATAAAATTTTAGTATATATGCTTTCAATTCTCAGAATAATATTCCAAGGAGATCACGCAAAGCAGCTTCACCCTTAATTTACACTATTCACCATACTCAAAAGCAAGTTGAGCATCTAACAAAATTCCTACTGGAGTGTTTTGTCTTTGAAAAAAAAAAGAAAAAAAGAAAAAAAAAAAAAACCCTAAACTAAGCAAGCAAACAAAAAACACCTTTAAAGGGCGTGGTGGCCAGAAAGTGCCAAGGTATCGACCCAAAAAGGTCCGCTGCTAAATCAAAAAGTGATGCACTAGTCTAAGATCTCTTTAAAGTAATTGCATTTTGCGCAACACTTACTTTGCAGTTTCTTAGTTCTGCAAAAGATTATTCCTATGCTCAGATTCAGATCTCAGGTTCATGGAAATAAAAAACGGAAGGAACCCTACCCAAGAGGGCACAACCAGGATGGTCCAAGTTCCTCTGGCATCTTTCTCACACCGTGTGCACACAGGCAAAAACACTATGGAGTAAGAGTTGTAAGAATATCTGTATACAGAATAACTCAACATACCATTAGAAGTTCTGGTGATACCTTTAATGGCACTCTCCAAGCATCTAGAAAGTGAAAAGGAAACAGAAATGA